TTAGTCTCCAGAGAAACGCCACTGCTCTTCAGTACTTTGGAGAGATCCCTAACAGCAGACCTTCCCAAAAAGCTGAGAAGTAATGAGAAAAAATATTTGGCAATGACATATCTGTTACTTACATCTAAAATTTATAGAATATTCCAAAACCTCAACAAGAAAAACATAAACAATCCAGTCACAAAATGGGCACAGAATATGAACAGACAGTCCAGAGAAGACATTCAGATGGCAAACACACACAGGAAAAAATGTTCAAAATCCCTAGCTATCAGAGAGATGTAAATCAAAACAGCTATGAGATTATCATCTCACACCAGCAACAAGAAAAAAATTCAACAGGGCAGCAAACAACAAATGCTGATGAGATTATGGAGAGATTGGAACTCTTATTCACAGCTGGTGGGAGTGTAAAATAGTACAGCCACTATGGAAAGTGGTCTGGTGCTTTCATAAAAAGTTAGAAATAGACTGTGCAGCGGTGGTGGTGGCGGCAGCAACAGAAGATGACCGATTTTCTGAAAGAACTGCCTGTCAACAACAAAAGCAATTTTAGCTGATTCCATGCTGACTCTGTCTGCAAAGACCTGAACCACCGGCCCTCAGTCTACCTGCCTCCGTGGGAGTATCCATCTGAACAAATCATTGTGACAGAAAAGACAAATAGCCTCTTGCGATATCTAGATCAACAATGGGACAAAAAGAACGCTGCCAAGAAGCGAGGCCAGGAGCAAGTGGACCTGGAGGGTGAGAGCTCACGCTGCCACGCAAGATCGTACGGACCCGCAGGCAGGACATGCATGAGGACACTTAAGACTCACACTGCCCTCACTGCCTCCTGTCATGTGTGCTCCTTACCATGCATCCCTGCCCTCTCTACCCCACTGCCCTCACCGTGCTGCCCACACTGCCTAGGAGCTTATGTATTTCCTTTTCTCTAGTTTTTATTTATACTGTAAAGTGTACCCAATGATGGTTAAAACAGACGTCAGAGCCCATTACAAAAAAAAAAGTTGGAAATAGAAATCCCATTTGACCCAGCAATTCCATTACTGGGAATATACCCTAAAGAAACCAGAGCCACAACTCAAGCACATGTATGCACAACCATGTTTACTGCCGAATAGTTCCCAACAGCAAAGAGATGGAGGCAACCCAAAGGCCTATCAACAAACAAATGGACAGAAAAATCACCTTGTTGAGAGGCTTCCTCTTTTTCACTGACCCTCTACCTTTTCCAGTGTAGTATCTCTCCCCACAGACTGGTTCCTCCTGGAAATGCACCCAAAGGGAGACCAAGTAGCACCATCCTTGCCTCTAGCTGCACTTCCTTCAAGACACATTTATTTGCTCTTTTGGGAATCTATGGCATATTAAACATTCCTTTAAGATATGAAATAGGATATAAGAAATAATATGTAAGACAAGGATAAAGAATTACACTGTTAAGGCACAGGTATACGCTTAAAATTTACCAGCTGATCTGAGAGAAAGATGGGCAATCTCTTCCTGTGTGATTTAACTGCCTCTGATAACCCACTGAAGGTAGCCTATGGGCTGGTTCCAACTTAGTGGTACACAACAACTACCAGCTAGTGTCTTAGTCAGAGTTAACTTGACGGCACTTAGCCCAGTGTCGTCTTAAATGTCAAGTCCTAGGGACATGACAATCTCTAAAGAGATTATTTCAGAAACAAGTTATTGAAAGGATCACTTTGAGCAGACTATAACTGAAGCATCTTTGCTTTCTACTTGTTTCTAACCTAATCCAGCAATGAAACAGCAATGGGTTTGAGCAGGACAGAGATCAAGAAGATGGCACAGTTTCAGGCAAGGTTCAACTCTATTGCTCATAAGGCACTGAGTCATAGAAACTTGATGGCACCTAATAGCATGTTGTTACTGTTGTTATGTGCCATCAAGTTGCCTGCAACTAACAGCAACCCTATGTACAATAGCTCTGAACCCTGCCCTATGCTGAGCCAGTCTCACTGTGAGACCTACCCCATTACAACCAATTTCTATTCTTTGAAAATCAAATCAAATGATACATTAACAAATACACTTAGACCTCATTTACAAACTATCTCATTATCTGAAATTTCACATTTATGACAGCAGTAAACAATCTGCTATATCACTATTTTGCACCTAAATAAGATGCACTGTGTAGTAATCAACACTGAGGAATGAAGTGAGTAAAGTGGTTGTGATGACTAAAGTTATGTGTCAACATGGCTGGACTATGATTCTGTGTTCTGGCAGTTATGCGATTATGTGGTTATCTGTCCTTTTTTACAAATGCTTAATTTCTACATAACAACTGGTTTTTGGAATCCCTGTCAATAAATGAGGAATGAATACATGGTATCAGTGCTATTAATTTTACAAGCCCCAGAACCTTGTTAAATTTGCAGTATTGTGAATCCACTGTCAGTGTACTTCTTCAGAAGCATTCATTTATGACAAGACTCACGTAGTCAAAGACCTGATTGTGCCATACTCACAATCTACTGTGCCTGAGCCCACAGTTGTAATCACTGTGTTCAACACATCTCATATTTCTTCTTTTTCACTGACCTTCTTCCCAGCATGATGTCTTTTTCCAATGACCAGCCCCTCCTGACAATATATATATACCTAAGGTATGTGAGACAAGGTTTCACCATTTTGCCTCGAAGGAGCTCCTGGTTGCACTTTTTCTCCAGACAGATTTGTTTATTCTACTGGAAGTCCACAGTATATTCAGTACTCGTCAATACTCTTCCTTTCAAACACATTTCAAAGGCATCAATTTTTCTTCAGTTTTTTGTTGTAACTGACCACCCTTCACATGCGTATCAAGCAACTGACATTGCCCTGGATTGGATCAAGTCTTGGATTAAGTCTTTACTCTTTAACAATAAAGTGCTCTGTATCTATATTCAAAGTGAAAATTGTTAACTACTGATTAAGTTTTATATTTTAGTGTCCCTCCTTGCTGCTGGCAAAATGAATGATAAAGTGACACTGCTATTGTTGTTGGGTGCCATTGAGTACAACTGATAGCAACCCTATGAACAACAGCCTTGAACCCCGCCCTATCCTATGCCATTCTCATCATCCCTGACACACTCAAGCCCACTGCTGCAATCACTGTGTTGGGAGTCTTCTCTCCTTCTCTAACCCTTAGTCATGTATAAGCTGGTCCTACACCATAACCATAAAGTATCACAGAATTCCATTACAACCAGTCCATTTTGGGCTGACTCTTTTTTTTTTTCTTCCAAAATTCCTCACATGATAGGAAAGGCAAAAGTACACAACAACAATGTGCATGTAGGTAAAAAAAACAGCAACTGCATAAATATGAGCTTGTTGTTGTTAAATACTGTCAAGTCAGAAATGACCGATAGTTGATCCTCCAACAGGTTTTGAGAGGCAGTAAATCATATGGTGAGAAAGCTACCCATCTTTTTTCCCACAGAGCAGCTGGTGGATTTGAAGCAGGTACCTCTGAGTTGGCAGCACAATTCCTTACCACTAAGACACCAAAGCTCCCTACGTGGGCTCAGGAAACATACAACATTTGAAGATGACAAGATATTTATTCATCAAATAAGTTAATGGAAAACCCAAAACTATGTAAGTATCACCAAAGAGAGTACAAGAAGTTCATTTCAGTTAAAACAAGTATTATGGTGGTGGCTGTTATGTGCCAGAGTCAGAACTGATGCTCAGCTTGACCCTCTGACAGGTTTTCAAAGGCAATAAATAACATGGGAGAAGACTGACTATCTTTCTCCCACAGAGTGGCTGGTGCATTTGAACCACGAGTCTTCAGATGGGTAGTGCACCTTCTTACTGCTAGGCCACCAGAACTCCCTTTGCAAGTAGTATTCACACTGTATTTCACACTGATTAGACTACAAATGAAGTATTTAATTTGTAAGAGAGAATAATGAAGAGTAATTCGAGAATAACGAGGAATAATGCTAGAATAATGAAGGAATTTTGCTAAATGCATAGATATTTAATATTCAGGAAATAGTCACTGAGGTCACTTCCTATGACTTAGCTAGATAAAAGCCTCACGGTCTCAAGTATTTTACAGGACAATGAAAACATCCTTTCCATCAGAAAAAGATGACCTGGGAATGTAAGAGAAAGAGCTTTAGAAGACAAAGTAACCCAATAAATTAAACACTGAACTGATAATTAGAAAACTTAATTTCATATCCCAGCTTGACTTATTACTTTAATCTGCTTCCTCATCTATAAAATATATATGGAAATTGTCATACAGTTTATATTGTGCATAAGTTTAAGAATCAAATGAGATAAAAGAAAACCAATGAATATGGATGTACTCACAAGCAGGTTTGCTCACCTCTAAGCAAAACTCCAGAAAAACCCAGAAAGCTGACACACAATGTCCACAAAAGGCAGAGTCTAATATTTGCAATTATTTTCTCTAGGGAATAATCAAATTACTGTATAATATGGATCCTGCGTCTATACATGATGCAAGAGGATAGATGTTTACACCTGGATGAAGTACTCCAAGCCCAGTTTCCCATGTACATAGAGATACCTTTGTCACAGATTAAGTATGAGAAGGGACTAGCAAAGTATAATATTCTACTACAAAACAGCTTTAAAAACGTAATTTCTCTTTTCCTTTGTCTCTTCTAAACTCTGTTCTTCTATACTAAATTTTCATTACTTGTTATTCATAGATAAAGGATGTCTTATTTTTTTTAAAAGTGCATATAGTATTATTACTTTATAATATCCACTACCACATCAAAAATATTCTGTTCAGAAAAATTAAGTTACACAGCTTTAAATGGAAACCAAGTATTGACTTTTCAAAATAATAATAAAGAACTAGACGGGATGAGCAATCTTATAGTCATTTACTGAATAAATAGCATGATAAAAGACCATGTGCTGGCCATTTATAATTCATGTTTATTTAGTTAGATACATTTACGTACTATTAAAAAAACCCCACTAACCTGGATTCTGACTATAAAAAGGTCCTCCATTCATCTGACTCTGAAGGCTCGTTTGTGAAGTTATGGAAGGAGGGCGTCTATAGGGCAAGGAGCCCCCAATTGTGGGAGGAGTATGGCGGGAGACTGGTCTGTTCATGCTGTAGAACTGAACAGGATGACCTGAAACAAACAGAATATAAATGTCATTCAAGAAAACTATCATAGATAATGAAGCACTTTAGGTGTAATGCTGAATCTTAGTAAGATCATGAACACTAGCAATGGTTAGATAATTTAAAACTAAACTAGTGCTATCTAAAAACATAAGCTGCTTTGCAGTGCAAGGTGCCCTAGTTCTTTTTCAGCTAACACATCAAAGTGCAAAAGGAGAAAAGTAAATAAGATTATAATTAGGCTTAGCAAAAAGATTACTTATTAGTGATGAATTTACTAAATCAATAATTTAATGAGGTTTCAAAATCATCACAATTAAAATTTACACACATGCCTCTCCATATATGTAGTCACTAAGTACTTGAAACTAAACAAAATAACAGCTGAGGAATAATAAATCTAAGTAGCAAAGCAATTAGTCTAAAAAAGGAGCAATGCAACAAGTGAAATTAAATCCAAATCATTAAAAGAAAAACCTTTATTCAATAAAAATTTTAAAGGCAGAATATTTAGTCATAAGAGTACACCATGAATAATTTATAGTCTTAAGTTACAAAAAGAAAATCAAATTTCATCTTATTTTAATATCTAATAACCTGCACATTTATTATTTGTAAAGTATTTTGCTAAAGAATTCTTTAACAACCTGTACCAACTGGAGAAAACGTCCTAACGCAAGGCAAGGTCTAAATTTTCTTGATTCCACCTCTACTTACTCACGTGAAGACCTTTTGTCATGGACAGACAGAGACACACAGAGTTGCCTATGCATACACAGTCCATAGCTCTGGAGCTCTAAGAAAAGAGATCTCCAGCAGGTAAAAGGACAGAGAGAAGTACGGAAAGGGAGAGAAAGGACAAATATGGGGAAGAAGAGAAGAAAGAAAAATGGAGAGGAGAAGAGAGGAAGTGATAAAGAGGGAACAAAAGAGAAACGTACTTTTTACAAATTTTTTTTATCTAAGATTTTAAATATGTGTTTTAAGACTAAAATTAGTCTTTGTCATGGTCGTTGTTGCTGTGTGCTATCAAGTCAGAACCAACACTCCAGTGAGATTTCAGAGGCAGTAAATAGCATAGGAAGAAACAGCCCAATCTTCTCCAATGGAGCAGCTGGTAGATTAGAACTTCTTGGCTTTGGAATTACAACACAGAACTCAATAAAGTTATCAAACTTTATTTATACAGATTCAAACAATGTATTACAGGAAAGCACTCAAGATATGTTACATAATACTCTTATCAAAACCTATCAATTATTCCTGTTGTATTAAAATCTTGAGTATTCACATTTAAACATAACTGATTACCAAACTTCTCTGTAACTAGGATAAAAACGTAAAGACATAAACTATTACTGAAAAGGTAGAGTTAGACCTTCAAACCAACAGATACAAAAAATATTATTGGTATTTTATGAACTAATATAAATAAGTCTAAGATTATCAGGTTTTAAAAAATCTGATGACTAACATGAAATTTATATACTTAGATTCAATTTAAAATCTCATATTATAAATCCTCACTGACTTAAAGACACTTTATAAATGAGACTTTGTGCTGTTAATAAGGCATTCACCTTGTTTTGCATGTTGAAAAATTTTTAAAACATAAATTTCTACAGATCTACAGACAAAACTTAAATTTAAAGTTTCTAGAATACAGAGAAGGGAGTTCTGATGGCCTAGTGCTAAGAAGCTGCACTGCAATACCAAAGGTACACAGTTCAAATCTTCCAGCTGCTCCACAGGAAAAAAATGGGCCATCTCCTCCCCTGTGATTAACTGGCTCTGAAAATTGAGCGGTTTCCAACTCAACGGTAAACAACAACAGAAAAGGGAAACAAGAGAAAAAACTGACTCTGAGTAAGACAAATATTTCTTAGATAATAACAAAAGCATAATCCATAAATTAAGTGATCATACAATAAAAATGAAGGCCTTTATTTTCTAATACATCATTAAAAGAAACAACAAACTAAAGGAAATCACATAATTGATAAAGGACTTGTAGCCAGAATATAAAAGTTCAATGAATAAATAAAGCAAAAACAACCTTATTAAAGAGGAATAGGGGTATATAAAACATTTTGTGATCAGGCTCTTTACCAAAGACAAAACTGATGGGGGGGGGGGAAGACAGATTATTTGTTATCAGGAAAAAGCAAATAAAAACCACTAGAGGGGAAAAAAAAGATACAGACACTAGTGAAATTTATGCTATTGATGAAGAGGGCTAACTTTTAATACACGGTTTGTTAGCTTGTTATTAACAATACTTCTGATCTAGCAAACCTATATCCTACTTACCAAATAAAATTAAAACCTTTATGTTCACAAAAAAATTATGCACATGAATACTAATGGCAAGAAGCTTTATTCATAATCAGCTAAAACGGTAAATAATCCAAATGTTCTTCAACTAGAAATGGTTAAACAAGTTGTTGTACAACCATACAATTAAAAAAAAAATTACTCAGCAATAAAAAGATACTAAAACATGCATAAATTTCAAATGCAATGTGCTAAAAAGGCCAGACAAAAAAGACTACATTACTATATATTTACAGTTAAACCATATTCTTACAAAGACACAGCGTTAAGGATAAAAATGAGGATGAAGAGTAGTCAGAGGCTAAGAAGGGAAGGGAAGTGATTTCAGAGAGGGCATGAAGAGGTATTTTGGGAAGGACTTGCCTATATTTTCATTGTAGTGGCAGCAACATGACATGATAGTCACAACTCACTGTACTGTATACTAAGAACACAATATAACAGCGCTGTCTCATGGAGGAGCCCGGTCAATTGGCCTAATAAACTGGACTTTTAATTCTTTTATATATGAAATATGTATAGTGCTTCTGTTTTACCTCGTGGCCTTTGTGGACTATATGGGATTTTAAAAACTTGCAAACAAACATCCAAGATACCCCAGGTCTTTATTAATCCCAAACAACCAAAGAAGAACTAGAGTCAAGAATAAGAAGGGATTATGGAATGGGTGATTAATTGCTTCCATGAACAACTGCCTCCTTTGTCATGAAATCATGACAAAAAAACCTGAAAAGGGTGTACAGTTATCATTATTAAACATTTTGACTCAATATTCTAAAGAAGAATTCTGATGAAAAGGAATAAAATGTAAAAGACAATTTCAAATTCATATAGACTCAAGATTTTCTGGAGCCCTGAAGAGTAAATAAACCCCTAGGACTATTGTCCTGAGGTAATCTTTAAACCAAAAGTATTCTTGAAGTAATCTTAAAGTCTAACGATAGTTTCATAAGCCTTAAAGTCACTGCTTTAGAGCTGACCCTCTATAAGTTTGAAGCTGTAAATCACAAGGAAGGAGACTGCCCATCTTTCTCCTGCACCACCAGAGAAGCATGGCCTTTGGGTGAGCAGTTAGACTACACCACCAGAGATCCATAAAAAAAGTTCAATTTAACCAGTATAACACATTTGCCTAAAGTGTTATGTTCTTTTAAGAACCTGGGATCAAATGACAAGAGCAATCTAAAATATTCAGAAGGAAACTGAGGAAGCAGTGAGTTTATGTTAATGAGGGAGGAATGATTAATAAAAAGAGGGAAAGAATGGTTATATAACTCCAAAAATATAATCAATGTCTCTAAATTGGACTGTTGCTGAATTGGTGTATATTTTGCTGTGTACTTTTTCAATAACAAAATAAAGTTAAAGAAAAGAATGCAGTGTGTTTTATTGTACATAAATTATACTTTCAGAAAACACAAAGAGAAAAATGACTTGATGATTCAAAGATAAATGTATGAGAAAGACTATAAATATGAATTAGGGGAGCTCTGGTGGCCTAGTGGCAAGGAGCTGCAACTACAATCCCAGAGGCGAACGGTTCGAATCCACCAGATGCTTTGCCGGGTAAGGAGGGACAATCTCCTCCTGTACCAGTCAGATCTGATTTGACGGTACATGCACACAAAAATAATAAAATAAAATAAAAAAAATTTAAAAAATATAAATTAGATATTTACCTTGCATTTTTCTTTAAAAAGGAATAAATTCGTTATTTATCCACTCACAGCAAATGTTTATTCAGCAGACTATGAATCAAATATCTGTTATTAAGTAACTTAGAAAAATGTTAATCTGTCTTTTCTAGGCCTACAGAAAACTGATAGATGCATTCTTTCCTCTACTGATAAGGGGCAAACCAAGACTGCTACACTTAGCTAGCTAGTCTGACAAAAAGAGTTCCTTACAAGTCAAAGAATAGCCATGTTTATATTTCATACTATAAAAGCATTTCTTGACTAAAGTCAGTCAATCACAAAGTGACTTACGTATGATCACAAAAGTACAAAGTACCTAGAATAAGTAAATGTACAGACACTAGAACATTGGGTAGAAGGGAGGAGAATAGAAAAAACTATTATTTAAGAAGTACTGAAAATCCAGCAAAATTTGAGGACAGATGTTAGTACATGATTGATGACATTGCTCTCTGAATTTTATAGATAGGAAAATGCGTAAGTGGCAAACATGTAACTACAATGTTCTAAAAGTGTAGTTTTATAAGCTGTGGAGTCAGAACTGACTCAGAGGTAACCCTCCAGCAGGATTTTAGAGACTGAAAATTGCACTTTTCTCCTATTAAGATTGTCATAGGTGTTCAAACATATGTATATGCATAAAGGATAAAAATCTGCTAACTGGCATTACCATTAACTGTGAAAACATTCTGTAATAATTGAGTCTTTAGCTCTTACCCTACCCAAACAGACCTCAGTTGCAATTTTAAAATATCAGTCAACATAAGTAAACCGTAAGTTCTAAAAAAGTTCAGTACTTCTAATGACTCAGTGCTGCTAAAATAAGCAACAAACTCTGTTATAATCTACTTACAGGGACTTTCAAACATTAGCATCCAAATATATGTTATAAAATACACCTTAGAATTATTGCACACTTTTTCTTTTGTTAATAACTCAATCAGCAGCACAAAAATTTTCTAATGACAATTTCTTAAAATCATATAGAAGATGGCATCAGACTAAACTCACGAATCTCTACTAAATGGATTTCAAGCAATAAAACATTATTATTTATTCTACATAAATGGGAAAATATATAAGAACTTTATATTGATTTTTGTCTGAAATTGTTTATTCATATGCCATTTTATCACTAACATTATTTTTCATATTTTGTTAAATACAAAGTATAATCAATTTTTTAAATTTTTTTTTTAAAAGATCATAAAGCCAGAGTTCCAGGTAAAAGAACAGGATTTGCCTGCTAAGGAATAAGCCAATACTCACCTGTAGGGGGAGTGGAAGAAACAACAGGGGGAGTTGGAGAAGTGAAGCCATCGGCAAGGGTCTGGGCACCCCCAGGAGCAGCGTCTGGGGCAGTGGAGGAAGGGACAGTAGCAGGAACAAGAGGGGCAGGGGCAGATGCAGAAGTAGCAGGAAGGGGAGGAGTGCCAGCAGAGCCAGCAGGGGCTGAGGGGAAAGAGGAGGAAGAGGCAGCATTAATGAAGCAGTAACATAGGCAGGATTAGAAAGAGCATCAAGAATATTTTGTGTTAGACATTCAGTGCTTAGTACTAAATAATAGAAAAAATGGTGAAAAAAAGAATGAAGCTTAGTTAAAAGGATTATTAGGTATGCAGCAATAAATCAAGATGTTTAAGGGAAAATTCATGGGGGAAAAATATTCCTTTTTACCTGAAATCCGCTACTCTGGAAGAAAGTGTTCTCTTTTTATTGTTATTTTAATCATATAGTTTTGCAGAGAGAATACAAACTAGATATAACTTGGAAAGAACAGTATTTCATTTGGATTTATAATAATCAGAAAATACACAGTTCAGTCATATATATCACTGAGTCAGGACCAACCCATTGCTGACCCCCTGGCAGTTTTTCAGAGGCAGTTAATCACACAGGAGGAGATGGCCCATCCATCTCCCAAGGAGCAGCAGGAGGAAATGAACCATGTGCCTTCAGGATTTTAGCACTGATTCTTACCCTAAGCCACCAAAGCTCCCTAAAACATTACATAACTGCTAGATTATATCACTGCATAACTGTCAAAATGCAACATTTTGTAACTGCTAAACCACTGAGAAGAAGGACTCAGCCAAATTGACATATAATCATGACTACCACAGGTGCCTTGCACCTCTGTGTTCACTACTACTGTGAGTAAACAAAAACTGAACTCAAATTTAGGACATATGAAGATAAAGTACCATTAGTGTTTTACCTGGAAAGACACTGGGAGGAGAAGGGGTAGGAACAGCAATAGGAACCCCAACACTCCCGCTTCCACTGTTCTCCCGACTGCTGCTTCGACTACTCGGGTGGCTTCCTCCACTACTTCCACTGCTGCTAAAGAAATAAGAGCCACCAAAACATGAATATTCATAGATCTCACCAGCATTTCCTGAAATTGATAGAGCTACAATAAAGACAATCCAAAAGGCCTCAACTTTATGTAAAAGTTTCTTATTAAAGTAGGTTCTGACCATCATTTAATAAGCAAGCATTGAAGAAATTAGAAAAAAAATGAAAAGTTCTACTAAGGCCTAAGTGATAAAACTCAGGGCTCAACATTAATAAATACTATCACCTTATATAGTGCAATTTAATGTCTATTAGAAGACATGCCATTATAGTAAAACTTAACTTTCCTAAAGAAAGAGGTTATTCAATTTTAATTTGTAATGATATCTTCATATAGTATTCCAAATTGATATTTTTAAAGTGTATAGTTTTTCATCTGTAAAGTTCCACCAAAAAATAACTTGAAGTTCCCCATTCTAGTCCAGAATTTTCTTTCAAGTTAACTTTAAACCTTGCAGAGAAGTTTTCAGTTTAATTATGTCTGCCCTTTTTCAATTTCCTGACCACTCAAAGTTGCATCAGAACATGAGGAGAGAGAGGTGGAATCAGATGAGGTTTGAGGAAGTAGAGTGAGGAAAAGAACTTAGTGTTTGGAAAATGAAAGAGATTTAACTGAAGTTAATTGAACAGATTATGGTACTATGGCCATCACATTTTGCGCTGAGGTAGAGAAAATACCTGTAAGTTCGATTTCTTTGATTCACAGAAGCTGTCCTCACAGGGCTCTGCTGCGAGGGAGCCATATTACGGGTTGGGCTAGGTACGTAATCATTTGGTACCACTGGAGGACGCACTGGCTCCAGTGTGCGATAGGGGGAGTGCCGCCTACAAAAAGAAGAGCGTATGTATTCTGTGATTAGGCAAGTTTCGGCACATTAAATTCAGAGTTGCCAGTAGTCAAACACAATTTGCAATCAGAGATATGGAAAATGTGGTTTAACATAACCCAGTTACAAATTTTCAGTCTTTCCTAAAACATTACTTGTTCACCATTTAGGGTTTTGAGGGGCATTGTTTTGCGTCTCCAACCTCATTTCCCCGTGCTAATGCAATTTTGTTTATTCACTCTCAGAGAAAACACCACTTTAAAGAATATTTCACAGTTTAGATTATTTCAGTACTATGCCAAAGTCATCACGCACTCCAAAAATACATAACTTGCTCAAGTGTATCTCCCTTAACCAAAGGTAGGCGAAACAACTCTAGAATTTGCTTTACAACATCCATACTGATGATCAATACCAGCTATAACAACTTGTGTCTCTTTGTTAATAATAATTACAAATTCAACTATATCCATAAGTTTAAGTAACACAACTGTCCTTCAACTTCTACCTTCACTCTTCCTCTCATGCTCCTTACAGTTCAACAAAGAAAAGGAAAACTGAAAAGAAACCACCCATAACCTTTCTACTTTATTCATGCCGGAATGAAAAGTACAAACCAGACTGGATTTTATTAACACAGATTTCCTTTTTTACTCAAAATTTCCCTTTAAAGAGAGAGTAGAAGAGTAAGAAAGGAAATACAGTAAGAAATAAGAGCTGTACTGGATGTTAATGATTACTAAATTAGTGCTCACAACATATTTTTATACAAATGTTGTACGGACTGTGTATGGTTTTCTGTATGCCATGAAATGGCACCTCACGTTGTGCACATTAAATGCATGAACGTGCTGTTTACACGTGGACACATGTCATATGCAAAAAATAGGTCATCATTCAGTTTATGAAATTAATTAAAAAATGATAAAAACTGACAATGAGATTCTTAACCTCAAAAGAATAAAAACTGGCACCCCAGATGTGAAAATTAAAGTCATGTTATTAATTTGATTTTTTTAAAAAATTTATTAAGGATTCACTTCTCAAAAAGACTACCAAGGCTTCAAAGATTGCTCTCCTGGGCCACTAAAGTTATGGCTCATTGACTCTGAATGGATACATTTTCAATGACCCCACCCACTCCACTATTTTCAAAGTCTCCTTGAATAAATATAAACAAGAGGCATTGTATTGGTTAGAATTAACCACATAGCAGTGGATTTGGTTTTTAGATGTGATACAGGATCCAAGAAAACGTTAAGTACTAGATTTATAATACTAAAAAGAACCTCTGCAAATATAAATATTAAAAAGAAAAATAGAAAATGGATTTCCAGATAGTTTTCTTTAAACAATAAAAATGTCCTCTTTATCTAAGGAAAAAGTTCTTTGCTAAATGAAAACTGTACAGCGCAGGCAATGATTAAGAAAATGCTAACAAATGAAGGGCTAAGAACAAAGTAAGATGATCAAAGACTACGTAAAAAAAGCCAGGCCATTAACTATCAACTGGCTGTGAGGTGCTCAGTAATTCTGGTCTCCAAGGATCCTGCAGAATCCTTGCTAATACACATGAAAAACATACCAGCGTATTAGTAACACTTCAAAATTTAAGAGCAAGAGAATATTTTACTTCAATAGAGACTACAGTGAGCAGTAATCTTGCTACTATCCTGATTTAAAACCAAACAGAATCCAGTAAGCACTACACAAGACAGACACGTACATATTCCACAGGAAAATAAACACCACTTCTTGTTCTAACTCTCTAACGTTCACTCCTGCACAACGACACTCTAAGTCATTTATACTATGCACTAAAACATCAAATCTCATTATCTACTATGTTTTCTCTCTTTAGTCTAAGAATTTTTTGTCTACCCCAAACAAAACCATTCTATGCCTGGCTGGAATTCATTCCCTTTTATTCCTTTGTCTCCCTCTATCCTATATAGAAGTCCTCTTTCAACATTATCTAACTCATCTTTGTCTAATCCACAATGCTTGATAAGGTTTTTTTTTGGTGAGGGGGCCAAAAACAAGATTTGTCAGCTAAAATCTTTTAAATATAGATCATAAAGCCAAATGATTCTCAAAGCATTTGTTACCTTTTTTTAAAAAAAAATCCAATTCATAGTACAGTGTCCCTGAAAAGTTGATAGAGGACAAATATTACCCCCTTTTACAGATGAAAAAGCTGTTCTGAGAGGTTGACTATGTGAAACCACAGAGCAAGCAATAGAGCTGGAGGAGAATTTTCACCATCTAGCTTCTGGGTTGTAGTATACTTACCTTATAAAATTCCAATGATAATAACTACTAGATCTACCATAACATTATAGAAATAAAAGGAAAATTTTCCATTAATTGAACTGGAGCCCAAAATTTTGCATCATCATAGTAAATCTCATATTCCCATAACAACATAAATTACATAATTTTATCATCTAAACAGCCTTCTTCAAAAGAATGGTAAAGCTCAACTCAAGTGTAATATGATACTAAAAAACTTCTGGAGAAACCAGAAATAGACGATAGTCTTCAATAATAAGCCTCTAACTTCTGTTAGAATTGTTCTCTCCAATTTAAAATTTATTAGAAAAAAATTCTAATAAAAAAATTCTTAAAAGTGTTAAAATGATCTCTCAGAAAATGGGCAAATAATGTACAAAACAAGATCATTTTAGACAGAAAATGTTCTGTCTTCAAATATTCAAAAATAATTTAACTATAGGTAGGGAGCTCTGGTGGCCTAGTGACAAGAAGCTGAATTGCAATCCAAAGACGTGTGGTTTTGAAGCCACCAGCTGCTCCACTGAAGGATGGGCAATCTCCTCCCATGCAATTAATGCCTCTGAAAACCCGTCTGAGGGTCAGCTACAGGTCTGTCCTGACCCTACAGTACACAACAACATTTAGTGTTCATACAACACTAATAGTTTCAATTATTACTTAGTAACATACTCACCCAAGCGTCCCTTTCCCTGACATAGGGGGGCTGGGGGGTTTCTGAGTTGGAGGTGTTGTACGTGGCAGCCCACCCATCTTCATATTCTGCGTACTCACCTAAAAAATTTTGAGGAAACTTCAACTTGTATCCAATAAAAGCATGTGGCACTTTGGGGAAATAATGCTATGCTATTTAACAAAAAGGAGGGGGAGGCTTAACTAGGAAAAATATTTGAGGCCATGCATTTTGTATGCAATGTCTACTCTACTATTATTCTACAGTTGTACTCAAAGGACTCTTCCTAACATGAGATTTCCCAATGATTATAAACTTGTATACAAAAACTTTATTTGCCATTAGGCCATCACACCAACAGATCACTGGTTAGACAATTTGATGTTATATTCAATTAAAATTCTGTAAGACAACTTTAATAAAGAATAACAATCAGAAGCAACATTACAACTCCTTAATTTTTAGGCAGCCTTCTTTAAATAGCATGTACTAAATATAAAACAAATGTTTTCCAAATGAAAATATGCAACTATGCATATGTCTCACTAGAGGATTTAAAATAAAGTTGTGGCATAGTAGGGAGCTGCACTGCTAACTCAAAGGTGCACAACTCTAGGGGTTCAAATACACCAGCAGTTCCACAGAAGAAAAATGGGAAATCTGTGCAATTTACAGCCTTCAAAAACCCACTGAAAGGTCAGCTATGAGTCAGTTCTGGCTCAATAGCAATGAGTTCCCATTTTTTAGATGAGTTTTAATATGATATAGAGAGACGTTTTCGTGTTCTTCAAAATTCTATGTAAGCTTTGAATGTTCTCTAATGAAGGAATCACCTACCTGAAAACTGCCAGAAGCTCAAAGTATGTTCTTAAACATCTGAACCAGAAAGTTAGGGCTGAGCTGGCCCATCCAACTCTACACAGCACAGGTGTCAATGACATTATTCTAGTTCAAGTGGAAACTAGACACCATCAGGCTCAAGCTGAAGGTTAATTTAGGCATGAAAGAGGTATTACATATTTCTATGTCTGAGCTGAGCCATTGATACTACATATTTCTATACCTGAGCTGAGTAAATGAAAAAAAAAAAAAAATAAGATAATCTGGATAACGAGTGCCCTTAAAGTACTTAACAAGTCAAGTCCTAGAAATCTGGATCTCTTAAGCTAAAAGAAATCATTTTTATCAGTTACATGCAATTTAAAATTGTATGAGACTACCAACTGGTAGATTAATGGCTTAGCAGGAAAAAATTGTGCTGCCAAACCAAAGGCTATGCAATTTACTGCCTCTGAAAACCCAGTGGAGGGTCAGCTATGAATTGGTTCCGACTAGCTGGTACGCAACAACAACATCATAAAGGCTTAAACCTGATGCTATTTCTAAGCTCCATGAAATGTCTCACATATTCTAATTATAGTTTAAAAATGAAAGTGGAAGATATCAACTACTGAAATTAGACTATACTATCATTTCAAAATAAGAATTTTAAGAAATCAGGCCATAATCATGTATACCATATAACTCTGGCTTGGGTAGACTTTTAAAATATTCCAAAATTCTGATGGCTAAACATGAAAGAACTATAAACTCCTTCAAATGAATAGCCCAGTGAACAAGTTGTGTGTGATGTTAAACCAATCTTCAATGACAAATGACACTTTTGAAATGTCACTAGTTTTAAAGTGAAGCATTTATCTATAATCTTTTTGTTACAGCTTTTAAACAATGAACACAAAACAAACCAATTATTAAGAAAGAAGAAAGTTGAAGTTATCTTTAGGCTCTCCCTCATTAGAGTACAGGCAGTATCCGAATTATGAACATATTCCATTCCTGTCTGTAAGTCTAATGTGCACATAAATCAGAACAGTTAGGTATGGTTTCTAATGTCAATCAGATGTTCAGTCTTAGTTCAGAGTGAACTTTTCAACACACATAAAAAATTTAAGAAACACATCTAGATACTCCCAGACATCTTTAACAAAGTAATACAGTAACAACGTTTTCATGTGCACCACAAAGTAGCACTCATCTGTTATTTCAAACCACAGAATAGAATCTGAATTTTAATATAATGGGCTTTGCAGAGGCTGGTTCATAACTACAGGCTGTTTGAAAATCACCCTTTCATAATTCAGGGACTGCCCATATACTACCATCTCTTAAAAAGGAAAATGCCAAAAGTTTAAAAACCAATCCACATTTGGGAAAATTTTCAAGGCTAATATGACAAATAACCAATAACTTCTAAAATGGTAAATCTTAATTTATTAAACGTGAAGATTTTTTTAAAGCATTAACCAAAGTCCTTTAAGCTCAACCTTAAAAAACATAAAAATCAAAGTTACTTTACATGGTAAGGGAAAAGTAGGTAAACCAAACACTAATAAACTACATCAATTTTCTAGAAACAGGAAGGAAAGGAACAGGGATAGAAAAAGAGTAAACAATCATTTTATTCTATACATGGATTAGCTGAATACTCTGAAACAAAATTCCAATTGTGATTTGAGGTTTTTGTATATAAGGTGTTTTTATTTAAATTGCAGTATCTTTTGTGACTCTTTCAATCCTACCCTCAATATAAATAATATATAAATAAAATCTGGTGAAATTTAAGTAAAATGTGAGACATTTTATGTTCTATAAAATCATCAAATGATTAGGTCAATATGATTAATGTGGTTAATAATATAATTCATTTAAGAAGTCTCTATAGCTCTGGTGGCCTAGTGATAAAAAAGCTATGCTGCAATCCCAGAGGCTTGCAGTTTGAATCCACCAGCTCCACCTCAGGAAAAAGATGGACAATCTCCTTTTCTGCAACTTACTGTCTCTGAAAATCCAATAGAGGTCAGCTATGACCAGTTCCAACCCGATGATATTTAACAACAACAACAACATACTATCTCTTACTACTTAATATCACTAATCAACAACAATCCCATTTTTATATGACCACTACCCGTCCGTATACTGTAGTATGGGACCTAATATGCTACTGTGATGCTGGAAGGAAAACCATCAGTATTTCAAGTAACAGCAGGCTCACCCGTGGAGAAGACATTTCAGGAGAATTTCTAGAATAAAACAGACTAGGAAGAAATATCTTGGAATTTACTCTTAAAATTAGCCAGTGAGATTTTTCTGGATCACAACAGTGCATAGTCCAACATACTTGCTTTAGACACTTCACGAGGAAGAATCATTTACAAGAGATGGACATCACATTTGGTGAAGAAAAGGATAGGGAGGATGACGGAAGTTCTTTTATGTGAAGCAAGGGCTTGACAGTCAAAATAATGCTTATTATAAATCTCGGTGTTTTCTGGGATCCTCTCTCTGAGTGTCAGCATTATTTATAAAGCCTCCCTTGTCAGGTATTTCCAGCCCACAGAAGAAATAACTTCTGCTTCTAACAAGTATCTTATTGATAGATGATTTGCTGAGGTAACCATAGCTGGTAGCTACAGGGCAGATGTAATGCCATCTATATATCCACAATTTATCAACTACCTCCTAGAATATTAGTATAAAAGGAAGTATGGGAACTAGGGAAAACAAAGGGCTACAAAAGAATTTAAGCTTTTAAAGAGAATATTATAGTATGGCATATTATAGTTTGGAATAAGTCAAATTCATGTTAAAAATAAAATGTCTGAAAATTTTATAGAGAATTACATGCCTCCCCCTAAAATAAGTGTAAAGGAAAAAGTTAGAGAAGGTTTCACAGGTGAAAATCTGAGCTAGACTATTAAAAACTTACACAGAGTTAACTATACCAAGAAGAGAAGGAGGAGTATTAAGTATACATTATGGCTGTATATAGAGCAGATGGCAAGAGCAAAGCTGCCAAGCACCTCTGTCTTAGTATTCTCCCATCATATAGTATCATGTCCCATTAGTCCTACTCAATGCATAATTCTTTGGCCTCATCGAAGTCTCTGTCCTCCTTAAATTTTATATACCTCTCCTCTTGAGAAGATATATCTCCCCTACTTCAATTTTTGTATTTCTTTTACAAGGGCTGATAAGAAAAAAAAATTATAAGATTTTCTAAAAGAAATTAAAATTGAAGCCAGGAATCTTAGCATGAATTCAGGACCGATGTAAAAACTTTATAAGAGTTTAAGAGACAAGAAATAAACTGGAAGAAGAAAGGGAAGTAAAGAAAAAGTAGAAGAAAATAACAGATGAAGAGGGACATATATTGATGATTTTAAAACTATTTTGACAGCTGGTTTTTGCCAAAATAGGCAAAAGTAGATGGATGGGTCCCTGAAGAGTTGGTATTATAATTTTTCTTCCAAGTATTGTGTCAAAGGAATAATTAAAAGTGAATCATTTTCTTCATGGAAATTAAGAATATAAGAGACAATTTATCATAATTCTGTAGGAAATTATAAACACTGTTAAAGATAGCATTCAATGAGTTAGCCCATTTTAATAGGGAATTAAATAATAAATTTTTAAAATTATAAGCAAAATATTTAAAATATTCTTAACTTGCTAACTGGAAATTCAGTAATAATTGTTCATTATTTTTACTCAGAAACTACATGAACAACATTCAATTGAAAGAAATAGAACAGTTCTAGAAGTCTGTTACTTATTAAACTTGTGTATACTTATTTACAGAATGCTGAAATTTAAGCTATACTACAAACAAGTTTACTGTTTTCAACTCAAAAATCAATGCATAAACTGTCTAAGTTCTACTAGATACTCATTTTCTTCAACTCATGCTGTGATTCTGGACTCTCTTAGCTTCAGAATCTGTTCCTCTAACTAAGGCAAAACAGTCTAAACTTTACAGGGAAAGGGATTGCATCTATTTCTATGTTTCCTTAGTCTTTCTTATCACTTTGTAGGTAACACATCCATAGCCAAAACTTAAATACAATCTTTAGACGGAAAAAGCCAAAGCACTCTATTTTTTATCTCATGGCTCTGCGTGGTCAAGTTTCACCAAGATTCAGAGCTTGGCACCAACACTTCAGTTAAATAACACAAAGAATACATCTGCCTGAGCTCAACCTAGTCAAATCTCTCTACTAAAACCCTGATCAACTTTCTGTGGCCATAGTTCATTAGCTAGTTATTAACTGACTTGTATCCTCCTGAAAGATACGTTGTAATCTTAACATCTGATATCTACTAACAAGACTTTTAAAAACTTTACCAACTAAAATAATGGCCTTTTAAAGACAGTATGTCCTACTCTCAATGAGATGGACACAGTCATTGAAACAATGACCTTGAGCATGATGAAGATGGGGCAAGATAGGGCAATATTTTGATAGTTCATAGGATCACTGTGAGTCATTGTTAAAATGATGGCATCTAATAATTCCCATTTGCACAGTTTCTTATGAAAGAGGAGAACATACATAGAGGGTCAGAGATGGAAGACGTCATTTGAAGGAACTTCTACAAGCCAAGGAAACTACAGCCACATAAAGCTAATAGAGAGGTCTCTGTCAGAGCCCTCGGAATCAACACAGCTAATACTCAGGTTTGAGCTAAAAGACACCACAATTCTAAAAAGAAATCTTTTTTATATACTTTGTAATATTTTGTTAGAACCATAGGAAAAAGAAGAGATTCTGTGTGGATAAAAATTCAGATCTCAGACATCCTATCTTCTAACTTTCTATGCTAGAAACTTGCAAATAATAGATGTTAAAATTGTTAAAAATATATATATATAAATATTTAAATCACAAAGTTTGGATAAGAAAAAAGAACATATATTAAAAGGGATGAATAAAAACTTACTAAGATACTATTTGACAGGTTTTTTAAATACAGATGAAACTTCTTTTGCTATTAAATCTACAAAATAATAAAACATTACCCAAACAAATCCCAAAGAGAAATATTACCTAATTCTTAATTTGTATTTTGTTAAACACAAACGACTGATGTTTCCCATATAATATTCATCTAAAAAGTTTTAAATCATTTAGATTTAAAAATATATTTTACATAGTTTTTTCCAAAAAACATTCTTTGTGATACTGCAATTTAAAAAAAATAATAAAGTATTTTCTGCTTCTCAATTACTTTACATTCACCCAAAGTCAAGTAATTATGACATACTAATCACAAGGTGTATAATAAAGTGCACCATTTATAGAATAAAAAGGCTATTACACAAGGGGAAGAGTTAAATGAAGCACATTAGTTGGTCCTCCAAACTATAACAAAATTTCTACATTTACAAAAAAATCCAACTAATTTTACTTCATAGTAACATTTTTATGACACAGTAACTTGAATTTCCATTTCACAAAACATACCAATATTACAAAATTACCATTCATTCAATGTATTTACTGAGTGCCTAATGTGTGCCAGGCACTCATCTAACACAAAGATAGATCAGTGAACAAAACAGACAAAAATAACCATCCTTGGGGAACATGAAGAAACACCATAAAATTGCATGGCAAAAATAAATAAATAAATAAATAAATTAGAAGAGAAATTACACATCGATGTTAAAAGGCCAAGTGCCAAACATATCTTGACTCCCCATATGTAATATTCTACAAAAGAACAAAGAATGGAAATCCAGCCCTGGAATCTCTTACCTTAAATCTAAGCAACCACTTAATGCATAAATGGAGCAAATAAAAGGATAAGGAAAAAAAGCATTGAAAGGTTAGTTGAAACTTCAGGATGTGGAGAGAAAAGAAAAAAACAAAAATTAAGTTAAGCATTTAGCATTAACAAAATAATGTTTCAGTAGATCATAGAAAGAGTGGTTAAAGCAGAATGTGTCATGAACAGGAGTTTGTTGTTTGGAGTTTCTTTTTTATAAAATTACTTAAGACATAATTTTATTTAAAAAAACAAAACAGTTAATTTTATTAAAAACTTCTACAATTAGTGACCCTTAAACACTGAAAGTCCAAAAATGAAAGGAAATAGTTTCATAGTATTGAATAACATTTTACTTCGAGGATTTAAGTAAGAATTGGGGAAGGGTTTTATCTTTTTATTATATACGTAGACAAGTACAAATACATTTTATATGCTAAGTGCTTTTCTGGCATTATATTCAGAAAGCATCCTAAGTAATCTGTAAGCAGCTGTATGCTTTGAATAAATCTGAAAAGATTTTCCCAGGATAGAATAAATTGCATTGATTAATTATCTACCCAATTAAATTACACATCCTATTTTAACATGCTCTAATTAGTATAGCAATCTAAATCCATGTAGGTATCAATTAAGTCTCAAATTCCAAATAGTGCTTGCACTGTACATTTTACCAGTATCTACATTTAAACTCAAATTTCAAGTGACTTGTAGTCAAAATAGTGTAATATGCATCAATCAGTAGTATTTATAAATATTTACTATAAAAATATTAATTATAATATTCTTATATCAGAGTATCTGTTGAGTGGACTGCACAGTATGTTAAATTTCACCTATAGATGTATATACATACATATACATACTTATTTAAAGTCATACTTGATAAATTATATTCCAAATTACTGATCAGATGTAAATTTTAAGTATCTCAATACTTAGCTGAAACTCTAAATAGCTTCTTAAGTGTAGAAAACAATTTATAATTAAATTTATATGCTTTCAGTCTTGATTATGGTACTTTACAAACATACTAGGCACTCAAATACTTTTTAAAAGTCAAAATATGTATATACAGTCAAATGCAGAATTTGACTCAAATATTTTATCTACACTATTCTTACTCCAAAAACTTGAAAAAATTTTTTAAAAATTTCAAAGTACCTGTTTATTTATATGTTGTTTCTAAAAGCTAAAGTAAAAAATCTCAAAAATTTGAGATAAGGTGAATTAAAAACATATCAAATATTAATCAGTTCTATTTAATTAAAAAATTAAAGCATCATACATATTTACTAGACCTAGATGAATTATAACTGATTAAGCAAATGCAATGCATTCAAAGACTATTTTTTAATTTAAAACTTGAGAACACAGCACTAAGAAAAAGTAAAGGGAATAAAATAACACAGTAGCAAGGAATCTTCAGAGCCACAAATGAGGTAACTTGGTCTTCAAAGAAAGGAAAGATAAAAGCTTCATTTTCTAAAAAGTTAGTTCCATTATGAGTTACTGTTTCTTAAAAGCTTAAGAAAAAGTATACCTACCTTTACTCCATGGCCAATATCATCTAGAATTGTATAATCAATAGGTTTTCTAATATAACGAACTGGTCGTTCAAGGTTGGCTGGGGCAATAATTTTGTGTGTTCTTGAAGTATTTTTATTGGTAGTCAAAATACCAATTTCTCTTCTTGCAACTTTTTCTTTATGAATGTCAACAGTCTGCAAAACAATATAAACAATACAAAAATGTATAGCTCTAACATAAAAAATGAGCAGATATTTAACATTTTAATCCTCATCAACTTCAAACTGCCAAAATTTTCTTCATCAGACAACTTGTCCATTTTGAAGTTAAACTAGAGGTTGGCAAACCATGACTCAAAGGTCAAATCTGGCCACTTGCCAATATTTTATTTTTAAATAGACCTTATTTTACAGGGAAATTTTAAGTTTACATAAAAATAGAAAGTACAAAAGATTCCACGTTTTACTCTGCACTGCACAGCTTTTCCTATTAACATCCTGCATTCTAATATTTGTTGCAACTGATGAACCGATGCTAATACACTATTAAGTTCACAGTTGATATTAAAACCACTTGCCATCAAATAAGTGACTCTAATCCATGTTAGGATAAATTGTGTGCCATAAAGTTCAGTAGTTGGTTTTTTGATAGTGACTGCAAGAGCTTTCTTCTGAGACATCTCTGCTGGAGTAAAATTGCCAACATGCATCAACCATCTCCACCTGATTATTAACTGCCATCGGGTTGGTTTAAACTCATGATGAGTCTGAGTGCAGTTTAGGGCTTCCTGCTCCATAGTTTTAATGGCTGTGATCTTTGGAAGCAGATCACCAGGCCTGTCTTCTGAGGAACCTTTCGTGTTCTCGATTTGTATTGTACTGTTCTACAGAGACAAATAATGTGTCCAGAATTTGAGTTTCATACAGAATAAGTTCACTGCCCTAAATATAAATAAATGACCTCTGGAAGTTTAGCAGTAGAAGTCTCACCTTTCCTGTGGGAAACTTGGGTTCAAATTATAACCAATAAATTTCAAGTACCTCTAGTATGTTATGAAGTTTAATAGGTTTCAGCAAAGCTTCCAGACTTAAGACAGACTATGAACATTGATGATTTTTTTTAACTGATGTGGCACCTTTATTGAAAACCAATTGACCATTTAAATATAGGTGTATTTTGGACCTTGTCTTCTGGTACACTGATCTATTTTTCTAAATGCTGTACTTCTGGAAATCAGTTCATGGAACAATCCATAACCAATCACAAGAATGGTATAGGACAAGACAATGTGCTGTTCTCTTCTCCATGTGGCCAATTTGATGGGAGCAAACAATAATAGTAGCAACAACAAAAATACACTTATGATTCACCTTAACCGCCTTCACCTCCCTGAGCCCCAGAAAACCACTCCTTTTTTCATTAAGTTTATAGATATGCTTTGTCCAAAATATCACAGTATGGGAATGATACAGTTTCCTCAAAATGACTTTTTTAAATTACTTTGTGTGTGTGTGCGTGTAAATTTACAAATCATATTGCTTTTTGATTCATTCATACATTTTGTTTTCTAACATTAATCAAAATGTGATCTCTTTATTCTTTAGTCTTGCTTAATACTCCACTGCATGACTGTACCGTTAATTTCTTTAGCCATTCAACTGTTGGACACTTTGGTTGCTTCCCTCTTAATATTTTAAATAATGCTGCAGTAAACATGGGTGTACATGTATCAGTTTCTGTTGTAGCTCTTACTTGTTTAGGATATATACCTAGAAAGAGATTGCTAAATCAAATGGTTATTTCTATTCCTAACTTTCTTCTAAGAAAGGGTTAAGTTGGCTTATTTTATTAGCAATATACATTTAGGATTCACCCATATCTTTTAGTGGCTTAATAGTTCATTTCTCTCTATTGCTAGATAAGACACCATTGAATGTGTACCACTATTTATTCTCTATGACAGGTACCCTGGTTGCTTCTAACTTTTGGTAATTATGAATTAGTTCCTGTAAATATTAATGTTTAGGTTTTTATGTGAAGTTTCAGCTTATTTGGGTAAATACTTAAACATAACTGCTTTTGAGTGACTGCTAAATCACAGGGGAGCCTATATTCTTAACAACTGTCAGCTGTCTTCCTAGGTGGCAGTATTATTTCTGCCCCAGTAAGGAACCAGTTGCCTCCTCCTTACTAGCATCTTTCGTCATCAGTGCTTTGGATTTTAGTCATTCTAATAGGTCTGGAATTGTTCTTTATTATCTAAAGATCTCTTAACTGTTTTGAGTTCTAACCCTCTAGTGCTATATAAACATTTTTTCATACACTTATAGTTGCCATGTGTATATCTTTCCTGATGAAGTTTCTCTTCAAATATTTTTGCCAATTTAATAAAAGATTTGTAGTTTTGTTATTGAGAATTTTAAGAGTTTGCTGTGTTCTTTATCAGTTTTGCATTTTCTCCTAGTCTGTGAGTTGTCTTTTCAATCTCAAAAAAAATAGAGAAGTTTTTCATTTCAATTTTGTGGGTTTCGATTGTTTGAATATAAAAAATCATCAATTCTGAAGTCACTTAGATTTGTCTATGTTTTTGTCTGCGGGGGCTCTGCTGGCCTACTGGTAAGAAGCAGTGTTGCAATCCCGAAGGCATACACTTTGAACCCACCAGCTAGCTACTCCACAGGAGAAAAATGGACAATCTCCTCACATGCGATTTACAGCCTCTGAAAACCCACTGGAGGTCAGGTACAGTTGTTTCATGTACAGGTTGTTTCTAACATGACAGCACTCAACAACAACATTATCTAGAAGCAGCATGGTTTTGCATCTTATATTTAGACCTAAAGTCCCTATTAGGCAGCTCTGTGGGCATGTCTGTAGTGAGTTTGACAGGTAAGCCCAAAGATTTGACCTCCAGCAGTTAGAATCAGCACCAAGGGAGAAAAATGGGCCATCTACTCGTTTCATGATTTACAGCCGTACAGACCAGACTAACTCATCCTGACCACTCTATCTGGTCTGGGTCATGATGAGTCAGAGTAGACTCAACTGACGGTGAGTCAGCCTATTTTTAGTTACTTTGCATGAATGATCTAAGGTCTGTATCTATATTCCTTTTATTTTTACATTCAGATGCCCAGCTATTCCAGAACCATTCGCTGAAAAGATAATCTTTCTACTCAAATTGCTTTGAACTTTTGTCAAAGATCAGTTGATTATATTTGTTTGATCACTGTAGCTTTATGTTGGTGTTGTGTACCAGAGTCAGAACCAACCCATAACTCACCCTCCAGCAGGTTTTTAGAGGCAGTTAATCACACAGGAGGAGATTGCCTTTCCTTCTCTCATGGAGCAGCTAGCTGGTGGCCCTGAACCATATGCCTTTGGGATTGTAGCACAGCTTCTTGCCACTAGGCTACAAAAGCTAATTTTTTTTTTAAATGCAAACATGTACTGTCGAATTGGATCTGACTGGCACAGGATGGTATTGTCCTTCCTTCACCGGTGGAGCATCTAGTGGATTCGAACAACGTGCATTCAGGACTGCAGTGCAGCTTCTTGCCACTAGGCCACCAGAGCTCCCTTAAAGCTCTCTGAAGTTGGTAACATTGATACTACAACTCTCACCTTCTTCAGTATTGTGTTAGCTATTCTGGGCCTTTTGACTTCCTAAACAGAAAACAGTATCACTTCGTCAAAATAACTTGCTGAAATTTTTATTTGCATTACACTGAATCTATCAAGTTGGGAAGAAGTAACATTTTAAGAACATGATGTATCATCTTATCTATGAGTATGGAGTAGTATTCTACTTAAAAAAAAAACCTTTTATACTTTTCTTAGATACCTGTTGTACATCTTTTGTTAAATTTATACGTAAATATTTTTTTCTTTTTTCAGTACTAAATGGTGCTGTGCTTTTAATTGCAAATTCTAACTGTCTATTTCTGATCCATCTGTTTTTTTCCACACCTCACAAGCTGAACAGTGTTACAATTTTCAATGGTTGGGGGGGGGGATGTTATGACATGAAATTCAAATTGCGGCACTATCAATTTCTTGCTAGAACACAGGCACACTCACATCCTTAAATGTTGTCCAGGGTTTATTTTCAGGCTGTGATGGAAGCGATAGAGACTTTAAAGTCTGAAAGCCTAGAATATCTATTAGCTTATCCTTTACGAACCCTCAAAATAGTCTGTCTACCCTTGAGGAAAACAAACTCATTTTTTACTGTCCACTAGAATTCAGCCTGATAAAATGATCAAGAAAGTCCCAGTGATTAATCTGGCTACATTTTAAAATAATCTGCAACCTAGCGGTATTTAAAATACCCGTGATATTAAAAAAAAATGACAGGGCTGAAACCAAAATTATCATGTTAAAATTAATTTTTTCAAGAAAAACATGTTTACTGGGAATAAGTGCTTTTATTTATCTTTATTAAATATTCAAAATATAAATCAGTGGAGAATAGCAAAATGTTTATACTTACAGTTTTCTACTTGCTGATGGCACACTAAATTTCTCCACAAACACAGGAGTTAATGCAAGCATTTTTTTTTAAAAAAGTACAGCTTGCATCTTAGTGGGATGTAACCAGCAATTTTAAATGAAATAAAATAAAAACACTAGACAGCATACACATAAAGAAGCACTATTACTTAAAATATTTGTTAGTGATATGTATATAGATTAATACAAACTGTGTATTGGATGTGATACAAACTGACTTTTTGTTGTTGTCTACTGTGAATTTCAGCCAAAAAAGTTTGAAAAGCACCAAACTGGATTCCTCTCTTTTTTTTTTTTTTTTTTTAGGATTTCAGGAATTGTCTTTAATAAGTCTTCTTGGAACATGAACATATCTATCAACAGTTCTGACTTATGGGATTCCTCTCTTAATTATCATCTCATTCCACCCCTCAAGCAGCAACAGACTTTTATGCTAATTCCTTACCAGTCTTACATATCAACATTCTGTTTCTAAAAAGAGAACCAGATAGTAAGAAAAAAAAGGAAAGTTACCTACAGGAAAATTGTCTTCTACACTGCCTAACGTCACACAGGAAACCATAAAGAATTCAAAGCCTTCTATTTTTTATATTTTGGGTTTTTTACAATTAAATCAACAAATCTAAATCCATAACCATCAAATTATTGCACTCAGAGTGTGGTATACTGGGTTTATTGTTTT